GTGAGTTTCCCTTGTGTTTCCGAAGTCCACCTAGCTAGCCTAGCCGGCTCAAACGGCATTTCCGTGTGACGCTAGGTGTATTGATACCGATGCGGGGTGAAAGCAGTGTGGGAACGTTGAGAGGTAGGCGAGCCTACTTCAGGTAGGCTACAAGTCTTCTCACTCCCAGGCCATGCGCCAACCTCCCGCAGGTGATCTGCTGCAAATGCGATGACGCGACTACGGTCTCCAGTGTTCCCTGACTGTCCATTGCTTGAGTCCAGTGTTCACTGACTCACTGACTCACTGACTAATGACTGTCCTTTGCTTGAGCTCGCAGAGTGTCCTGGGAAAAATGTCCTGAAAACTGGCAGGCCATCACCGGCTCATTATCATAGCTGCCTGGCCTTTGGGAGTTTGGCTTAGGCACATAGTCAATGACAACAAGACTTGCAGATGCATGAATGTTTGAATGTTGTAGGCGTATATTTTCTGAGAGTACATGTGCTTGGAAGATCATGACTCCATGAGTCCATGAGTGTATGATGATACGACAGTTGTCACAGACAATATCCTGACTACTGACATAACCGAACAGACTCGCCAGTGGTTGAAATCTCGGCTGAGTGGTTGACATCTGCAACATGCCGTATGACTATGAGTGGACAAGAGAAAGTCGATTTTGCGCTTCGCTAGTATAGTGTTACAGGCCGCTATGTCGCCGCCCTTTCGACAAAAACCTGCTGCAACTTACTTTGGTATGTCAGATCTAAAGAAAAGGGTCCGATTGGAAAAGGTGTTTGATCAGCTACCCAACTACCGTCGGTACATGTTAGTTGGAGCATACAAGTAGCAAGTACAAACTGAACGAGGACTGAATTAGCGTGTGCTTCCTACCTAGTCTTAGCGTGTGCTTCCTACCTAGTCTTCGGTGGCAGAATCGTCTACGTTTGTACTTTGTAGCTCAGATCTTTGTCTATGCTATACTGTAGCAAGATCCAGTGTTACATGACATTGTACTGCTAGACTGTAATGATGGAAAAGGACCATTCCCCGGAGAGAAAATGCCTTGTCGGTGACAATCAAGTAGAAATGGTACGTTGGTGTGTCTGTCTGTACGTACGTGCGTTTGTGTGCGCGGGTGTGGCGCGCATGTTTGTGCATGTGTGTACAGTATCTGTATTTGTCTGTACACTAGTAATGTGTTTGAAATGATTTGAAAGACCTCCTGAGTCCTCAGTCCTGCATTGCCTCAGTCCTGATTACCTCAGTCCTGATTGCCTCAGTCCTGATTGCCCATGTTCCAAAGCTACACTGGACATCATTGTCATATCAGTACCACCAAAACAACAGAGTACTGTCAGTGGATGATAATGTTGAGCACAGAGAGACCGCAAAAATGTCATGACTAAAACGTAGGAAATAACTAACTTGCGCCCGATTCGTTTTGACAGAAACGTAAAAAAAAACTTACCACCGATTCGTTTTGACAGAAACTTTTTTTCTCCAGAAATCATCAGTAACTACTTCTGGTAGATGATAGAGAATGAACGAAACAGTTCATGGTAGCAGACAATAAAGCTACTTCAGCCAGGTGTGAAAGCAGTAGCAAGGCGGGGGCCAGCAAAATGGTGCGAAGAACAGCACGTGGCCAGGCGAAACACACACACTATTGCACTATTGTCACTAGTATAGGTTCACACAGTGACACTACGAAGTGGGGAAAGGTGTGAATTGAGCAAATACAACTGGGCAGTGATTATGTTCTGCTTCTGCCTGCAGAGGTTGGGCTGCTGGGTGTGTATATGAACGGATTCTAATTTCTAGCACCTTCAAATGACAATTGGAATGACCACGTGACTATAGAAAACAATCATCAGAATAAACATCCACACATTCGGGAATCATTGACAGGGTGGCAAAGGCAGATTGATCTTGTGTTGGTTTTTCCTCACAGAGCCTAACCAATACGCCCCTGATACCTCATTGGTTTAGTAGCGACGTGAACATTGCCGAATTAGAGGAGCTCTGTTCAACAGCCGAGGCTATGCAGGGTGTTATTTCGTCGACCACTGTTGTACAGAGTAGCCTCAATCCTCCGCACGACCTAGCGACCGTGGCGGCTAGCAGTGGCGGACCAGCGGACACTGGTGCCATCACCCTACTATCTCCTGCATCTAACCACTCCGTTGCTATCACTGCAACCAGCTGTGCAGATGCTGCCAGTATGAGTGCCAGCATGCAGAGTGACGTGGAGGCCATGTGCAGTTTCCAACATCCGCATACGCCAATGATGCCACCAAGTTCAGGAGCGTTCGACATCATCTGCGATGAAGACCTTGCATCAACAGCGTCCACCTGTGAGTAAACCATTACGCGTAGAATTTAGTACAACGAATCTCTATAATAATTGTACTGTAAAACATTGTTGTGATGTGGCCATTTGAGAACAGACTGACACTCTCAATGACCACAATGTGTGTGTGTGTACAGAACAGACTCTCAATGACCACAATGTGTGTGTGTGTGTGTGTGTGTGTGTGTGTGTGTGTGTACAGAACAGACTCTCAATGACCACAATGTGTGTGTGTGTGTGTGTACAGAACAGACTCTCAATGACCACAATGTGTGTGTGTGTGTGTGTGTGTGTGTGTGTGTGCGTGTGTGTGTGTGTGTGTGTGTGTGTGTGTGTACAGAACAGACTCTCAATGACCACAATGTGTGTGTGTGTACAGAACAGACTCTCAATGACCACAATGTGTGTGTGTGTACAGAACAGACTCTCAATGACCACAATGTGTGTGTGTGTGTGTGTGTGTGTGTGTGTGTGTGTGTGTGTGTGTGTGTGTGTGTGTGTGTGTGTGTGTGTGTGTGTGTGTACACTACTAAGTATTCCAGTCTGTACTGTGCTGTCGCAGAGCCTTTGAATCAACTGAAGAAAGTTTTCTGCCTGTGAGTTACAGATAGTTACAGCGTGGAGGTGAAATCCTTTAGTTCTAGTTCTATGCCACTCTTGTGCAGTATTAAATTAATACTATGATGAAGAAAGGAAAAGGACAAAATGTTACGAGTTATGCCAAACTGTCCACCAACGTAACCAGATCTTATACAGTCAGCGGGTGCGACAAAATGGCACAAAACTGACAAGGAGTAATGAGACATTCGGCGACCTGACACCTAGCTCCAACACTTCTCCAAGGCGCAAACCAACAACCTTCCAGAGCCTTCCAAGTTTGAATGTTTGTTTGTTTGCGCCTTGGAGAAGTGTTGGAGCTAGGTGTCAGGTCGCCGAATGTCTCATTACTCCTTGTCAGTTTTGTGCCATTTTGTCGCACTCGCTGACTGTATAAGATCTGGTTACGTTGGTGGACGGTTCGTCATAACTCGTAACATTTTGTCCTTTTCCTTTCTTCATCATAACTATATTGGCTCACAATCTAAATTAATACTGTAGCTAATAGTGTGTGGAAGAAGGGTAGATACTATGGAAGCCTCAAGAGTCAGACGTCCCCTAGCACTATAATGATTGTGTGCAATGTCATGTACATGATTGTACGGTATTGTGCTTCTCTGACTTCGGTTTACACCTGTCAACATCGCAGAGGACTAGTGTCATCAATGACTGACTACATGTCTACAATCATTGTAATTATGTTTTGTGGCAGGCCGACTTCACCACACCATTGGGTAGTCATTTGATGGTGCTCCTTTTCTTCATGCTTTTCGTGGCAGCCTGGGACAGTGGGGACTATTTGGTCACATGTTTACGAAATCCGTGGATCCAGCCCCATAGGCCATGTCCAGGGTTGGACATTTCCACTTTTTCCCATGCCAATTGCCGTGGGAAAACCGCAACACCCAGAGCATGCTGTCCACATTGCTGTTCTGCCAGTGCTGTCACTGGCTGGCCTGTGACTCCGCCTGGCAGTCACTGCAGTTGCGCGGGATGCGCCATGGCATGGGCCAATGCCAATGACACTCCCAATCATCGTGAATCAGTAACTGAGTATCTGAATGATGCCTTTGATGGTACTGCAATGTACATGTAGGCTGTGAACTAAACCTTGAAAAAAAGGTCTAACTAGTTACTTACTTAGTTTGTTCCCTCCTCCATTCGCTCTGTGACTCTCTATGAGGAGCCTCCTTTACAGGCACAATAAACATGATGAATGAAACTGCAATACAAAAATCGTTAGACAATGCAAACCCAGTATAAAAACAAAGAATATTGAACCCCGAAGCAGAACAACCCCCTCCGGTGAACCCCAAAGCAAAACGCAATAATTATGTGATTGTGACTCTCTGATACTAGCGCATACTGTCTGCGGCGCAATCACCCCTGGGCCCTGCATACTTTTCTATCCTTTTGTTTCTGTGGAGCGCTTGGTCGGCGAAGCTGCTCCTGCCTCTCCTGGCCTCGCTCCTGCCATGCCATGATTATGTCCCGTCGCTGCCTTGCTGCTTGATGCGGTCAAAATGGTGTGTGGTTTTCATGGTAATTTTTGTAGAAAAAGACAAGAAAGGAAAGTACAATCATGTATCCATAACGTCATGCAGCTCCTGGTACACACCTACCATACCAAAATGCGTCGAGAATAGCAGCCATGATACAAATCACATCTTTGAGTTTGAGCCATTGTTGTACATGTAGAACCACAAACAGGTGGTTTCGCCTCCTTTGATACATGTACATGTGGACGACAGAGGGAATGAGAGAGAGAGAGGGGGGGGGGGGGCAGAAATACGGAGAGAGGAAGGGTAGAAAATAGATAAGTGAGTCGACCTCAGGGCTACACTAAAGCAAAAACGGAATGGGAATTGCACTGGAGCGTGGAGGACCAATAAAGTAACACTAACAGTCAGTGAGTGATTACTAGTAGTCATGTATGTTGATGTGGCTGTTTCTGGTCATAACAAAATATTCTGATAGGTGTGCCGTGTGGTTTGGCAACTACTTGTCTCAAGCACGGGTGACCTGTCCGGGCTGTCGTTACACAGTCATACGAAATGGTCCGCTTCGCAGTCACAGCCACAGTACAGGCACAGACCAAGGCACATGTCGACCACTGCAATGCTTCGTCAGGTGCAGAGCAACAGAGGTGCGAATTTTGTTCCTAATGCGATGCCAGTTCAGCTGCGTCCGTCTCGTCACCCGTCAATCAGAGAGCCGGAGTCGCCGCTGTGCAAGTCATGTAGGGCAGCGCAAGAGGAAACAGTTCGGAATCGCCAATGGAAATGGGCCAAGCAGCTGTTTGTCTATCTGGCAAGCGATGCTGAGTGCTCCAGCTAGTTGTAGTCCTCGAATCACTGATTGCTCCTCACAGCACTGGCCACTACAAGGCCTTTGTAATAATTATTTTATCTACTAGTATCAGGCAGACTGGGTAAACAAGGAAAACAAGACAGTGAGTGCTGCAGGAACTAACTTTGTTACTTGGGTTATTCAAGTGGAAAGAGCCAGAGCGAATGAGACCAACACTGCACCAGAGCCTCGCAATATCAGCTCGAGGACGTGTTTGAGATCTTAGTGGTTCATGGTGATCTCCTAGGTCTCCTAGATAATTGCCGCTGCTAACCAATAATTCAAGGTTCGTGACGATACGTGTTTGTGTAACTGTGCGTGTGCATGCGCATGTACGATGTAGATCTACGCCGCGTGGTGATGTTTCTCTTGGTAACCACCCCGCGCATACCCGCGTAGCGGCACCACAGTGCCGGAGCCGGAGTCAGAGTTGATTTCCGCAGCTCGAACACGCTTGCTTTCCCAGGAATGACTATGTATGAGAAATGCTTGTTGGTCGACCCGTCTCGCTTGGGTGACTTGTTGTACTTTAGTCTAAAGTACGCTAAAGTTTAGACCATAATCGACTTGAGACTCAGACTCCAGGGACTCGACTTGAGACTCATTTGTCCGAAACACTGTAGAGTGTACAATGCCTTCTACAACTACAAGCTGGCCAGGTTGTCTGTTTGTAGCTGAATATTTTTTTGTGATCAGCCTCTCTATAGCTATGTACGTGTGAAGACTGATGTTCCATTTTGTGCAATACTACAGTGCTGTTCAATGAAATCCAGTCGAGTCCCTCAAGTACGCGCCGGGCATTGCGCAGCCCCAGACCTGCGAACATTGGGCTGCGAAAAGGTGCAAGGCGCAAACTTGAGTGACACGACCGGATATCATTGAGCTGGACTGTACTAAGTCTTGGACAGTAGTAGTCATGGTAGTACTTATTAGAATCTGATATTGCACAACTAGTGTCTACTAGTCTAGAGCCGCAGTAGAGGGCATGTGAGACTTTTTCAGTGTATAAATGCACCCCCCCCCCCCCCCCCGTTAAATTCCTGATTCTGTATTCTGTATGTTGCAGCCAAGTAAGTTTAGGCCAATTTGCATGCTGCCCGAATTAAATCCCCCCCTCCTCCCCCTCCCCCGCGCACAGATTCCATGTGTATATCGTATGACATGTACTAGAGAAAAACGACGTGTTTATTCCGTGCAAGTTGATTCCGAAAGGTAGCTCATGCCCAACATGAACCTCACATCCACGGTAGACTAAACATTGGCTGATAGAATGTGATAGTACAAATACAGGTCAGGGGCGTAGGAAGCAGTTTAATATTGGTGCGGGGAAATTGTGAGAGGGGGGTCCGGGGTCGTCCCCGGGATTTTGTTTGAAAATTGGGCCTAAAAGGCCATATTTTAATGCTACAGAATAATATGAGAAATAAGAATATGCATGCTGACGATACACCGCATTGTCGATGTAAAACATGGTACCTGTACAAGAGTCGAAAAGCAATCAACAAGGTTGAAATGTTTTAAAAAAATTCGAAAATTATTGGTCCGGCGACCGCCGGGCCTGCCGGACCGGTTCCTACGCCCATGCAGGTAGAGGTCAGCTTTGCACAGGATCAACAAAACAAGAACGTGAAGGCTGGCAACGGGGAGACAGTGACTTATGTTGCTTGCCACAGCCCCATCCTGGTCCACAAATATATATGGTCTACATTGTACATTTGGAGAGAGGAGCAGTTGGCAGAACATTGACCACAATGATATATTGTACTGTTGTTGCTGCTGCTGCTGCTGCTGCTGTTGTTGTTGCTGCTGCTGCTGCTGCTGCTGCTGCTGCTGTTGTGGGTGTGGCGTGGGTGCACTCTTGTGCGTGTGTACATATGTTTCAGCAGCCATTGCAGCCCTTGCGCCACTAGACATCCTGGCTAACACACCGCACCATCATGGCAGTATGGCGTCGGATGCAGCAGCAGCCGCACCACCACCAGCCAAGCGTGCACGCTTGCCACCAGGCATTCAGCAACAGCATCCCCATCACCAGCAGCTGCAGCCGGGCAATGGCTTAGCACAGTGTAGCGCAGCACCACTATCGCCATCATCTCCCCTGTTTCTTGACTCTCATCACCAGGCTTTTATTTCGCATGCTCAGTAAGTTATTGTTACGCTGCAAACATCAGCAGACCGTTGTCATGCTGCACTGTGTCCCAATCACGTACATGCACCGCAATCACGGTACATGTACAATATGTAATGTATTTGTGAAAGTAGTATGGTTGTACTTGTAAGTAGATGGCATTGTACTGAATATGTGTGTAGTGTCCTATGTCTACATGACCTATAACGGCAATCCGCACACCATTAGTAATAGTAGGCAATTGTCCTCTAGAATACCATTCTTAATAGTAGACAATAGTCCTGTGGAATAGGTATCACTGTGCTGTTGCATCTTCTTGTCCTCGCGTCGGCCCGACTGGAAATCCCTCTCTCCTTCTCTCTCTCTCTCTCTCTCTTCTCTCTCTCTCTCTCTCTCTCTCTCTCTCTCTCTCTCTCTCTCTCTCTCTCTCTCTCTCTCTCACACACACTCTCTCTCCCTCCCTCTCTCTCTCTCTCTCTCTCTCTCTCTCTCTCTCTCTCTCTCTCTCTCTCTCTCTCTCTCTCTCTCTCTCTCTCTCTCTCTCTCTCCCTCCCTCCCTCCCTCCCTCCCTCCCTCCCTCCCTCTCTCTCTCTCTCTCTCTCTCTCTCTCTCTCTCTCTCTCTCTCTCTCTCTCTCCCTCCCTCTCTCTCTCTCTCTCTCTCTCTCTCTCTCTCTCTCTCTCTCTCTCTCTCTCTCTCTCTCTCTCTCTCTCTCTCTCTCTCTTCCTGCCATTTTGTTTACAGGAACGGCGGGAGAAGTCCACAGTGTGTGCTAACAAGGTATGTGCTGATGCTACTTCATGGCTTATCCCCCAAAATGGAAGAGCAGTTTTCTCGTCCTGCTGCAGCGTATGACCTGTGGCTATTAGACTCGCAAATGGATTGGACTGATTGGGGTCAATCTTATATCTACCGTATTTTCTCTAATAATAGCGCAGGTCTCTAATAGTAGTGCAGGGCGCGGGTTGATTGAAAAATTAAAGGCGCAGTCTCTAATAGTAGCGTGGGTCACTATTAGATTTAGAGAGTTCAGTCCTGTAGTACTGAAACACATAGCGCAGTGCAGACCCGTAGTATGATTGCAATCATAAGTTTTATGTGGTGTAATATGGCACTGTGACATCGATATATCCAGGATATCAGCATTGAAAAAATAATAGCCCGGTCTCCAATAGTAGCACGGGTAACGGGGTCAACGAAAAAATAAGAACCCCAGGCTCTTATTAGAGAAAACACAGTATGTTCTTAGGTATCACTAGGTGTATCGTGGCTTTCTCTTTTCCCATGCTGCTGCTGCTGCTGCTGCCCTTGTTGCTGCGACTGTTTTTGCTACTCTTGCTTCTGTTCATTCTGTTCATGGTGCTACTGCTGTTCATTGTGTTCATGGTGTTGCTTCTGTTCATTGTGTTCATTGTGTTCATGGTGTTGCTTCTGTTCATTGTGTTCATTGTGTTCGTGGCGTTCATGGTGTTGCTTCTGTTCATTGTGTTGTATAGAGAAGCAATGCAGGATTACTTGAGGACCAGACCGGATTGCTGTGTGACTATTCTACATGCAAAAGTGGCGCAGAAGTCGTACGGGAATGAGAAGCGGTAAGTGATATCAGTTCTTCGTGCTTGATACCCGGCTGTGCAAGAGAATTTTTAAAAGTGGACTTGATGGAAATCGGCAATTCAACTGAGCGCAACAACACCTGTGATAGAGAGTATTTAAGGGGAATCTCATCTCACACAGTCACCAAGTCACCCACTCAGCTAATGGGTCTCATCTCACACAGTCACCAAGTCACCCACTCAGCTAATGGGTCTCATCTCATGATCTCACCCAATCAGGTGATGAGCTAGCAGTTGTCTAGGGTGGTAGATTCGGAGACCTCGGACTCTCGAGATGCCATCATTCAATATTGTGCAGGGGAGGTTGGTAAATACAAAGTTGCAGGCAGCAGAACTATGACGTGTATGTATCACACTGTGTGTAAGTGTATGTGTGTGCGTGTGTGTGTGTGTGTATGTGTGTGTGTGTGTGTGTGTGTGTGTGTGTGTATGTGTGTGTGCATGTGTATGTGTGTGTGTATGTGTGTGTGTGTGTGTGTATGTGTGCGTGCATGTGTATATGTGTGTGTGTGTGCATGCACGCGCGCGTGTGTGCATATGTGTGTGCACGCCTGTGTGCCTTTCAGGTTCTTTTGCCCACCACCGTGTGTATACATGACCGGGGATTACTGGGCCAGAGATCAACCCTCCTCAACTAATGGACTAGCATCACCACCAGCCACTACAGCTGCTCAAGCAACAGGCTCTGATAGTCATGCCAAGACAAATAACACAGCAGCAGGAGCAGCAGCAGCAGCAGGAGGAGGAGCCGACGAGTCAGCAGCGGACACGGCCAATGGTGACGACAAGGCCAGCCCGAAGAGCTCCAAACAAGATGATGACAACACTGACGGCAAGTCGCAGGAAAAGTCTAAAACGCCACCGCCACCACCTGAAACCGGCTATCCGCGGTGTTTCATGGGTATTCACGAGGGTGAAAATGGAATGTCACAGCTGCCCGTCAATTACAAGGTACAATACAGAGTGTGCCATAGACTGGAAAGCTAGCTGTTGCATTCCGATACCGGCTAATGTGCAACTGTGGTTACCTGAGCGGGATGTGAGTGTGCTCACTGTGCGGGTTCCTGTGTGTTTATGAATCACAGTGCCTGGTCTGTATAGGCAGTGATACTCACCAGCTGACTTCTGACTACTGTGCAGTGTCTGATTCAGGAATCATGATTGCATGGTTTCATAATTGCCTAGTCCCGTGATTGCTTGATCTCGTGCAGGGTTACAGCGTCGCCAAAACACTATTCATATCCGACTCTGACAAGCGCAAGAACTTCCAGCTTGCTGCTAGGGTAAGAACTAAGATATACAACGTGCTCTGGGGATAGAGAATACATGTAAGTCTGGGGAAGGGAGGGAGGGGTAAGAACTAAGAAGATGCAGGTAGGGAAAACCCAAAGTGCTCGAGGGATAGAGAGCAAGTCTGGAGAAGGGGGGGGGGGGGGAGGAGGCGCATGATGGTCAATGACAAGTTACCTGGAATTGTTGCTAAAAGGGAGCTTCCCTAAAATAAGGGTCAGTAGAGTATTGTATGGGCCTGACTGAGTTGAATGGTCTCTTGGTCCATCTGACAGTGATGATTTCTGAGGTACCGTATTTCCGTGTACAAATACACCCACGCTTAGATCCAAATAATTATAAGCACATGTTCACAGATGAACCATGTGCTAGAAAATGAACAAAACATTGAAAACAATCCCTCAATTTCAGTTCAAACCGGGCAGTTTATTACATAATCCACCAGTTGACACACTGACATTGATATTATCAGAATCACTTTTCACCCAGGTCTAGCAGGGAATTCCCATACGAACTGTATCCGCATACATGAAAGTCCATGAAGACTGGTCTCTGCGCCCATGAAGGGCCATGTGCATTTATGATCCGCTGTGCATCATCAGTATTATAAGCACGTACTTATCCGTTAGCAAAATGACTTCTCTCAGTCCGCCGGCAGAACCAGCAACTTTCACAACAGCACATGTACAGCATTGGGTAAGCACATGTGGTTTTGTGCGCGGAACGATATGCTACTGTTCTTTCTACGTTGATTTTGTAATTCCTGCAAATGCTGCTGCTGACTGTTGAATGTGCTATAGACAAGTTCAAAGTTAGGTTATCCAAACTGTCAAAACGTTCTTAATTAAAACCTTGGTGTTGGGCAACCTGTCGGGCAACCGTTACCGTTACTCGCTTCATTCATTCATTAGCCTTTATTTGAAGGATTCTCCAAAAGTAAATGGATTCTTATCAAGGGAGTTTCCTGGAAGGGTGGATGAGACTGATGAAAGGGAAGTGAAAAGGGACAAAGGAAAAGACTTATCAGAAACACTGCTCACGAAAACCTACAGGTAAAACCTGCCAGGGAGAAACAGAATACATGACAACAAGTAGAAGCGCTAGACACGAAACTCAGGAATTCCAGCCGTGGAGTATTTATACTGTAAATATTATTGGTCCTTTAGGATGAACATAAAAGATGATCGCTCACCTCGTAGGCTCTCAGGGGGAGTCAGTTGCGGATTCAGTTCAGGTCCAAAGAATGATGGAAATAGTGAGGAAAGATGTAGCACTCACTAAGTCTAGTCAAACTCGCTCTGAAGGACTAAGTCTAGTCAAACTCGCTCTGAAGGACTAAGTCTAGTCAAACTCGCTCTGAAGGACTAAGTCTAGTCAAACTCGCTCTGAAGCCGACTAACTAAAAGGAAACAAGCTCTAATATAGCGAAAGGAGAGTTAAGTGGGATTCACAGAAGCCTTTTTGCGATGCGACACGCGATGCGACGTGATCTGCGACGGATGCGTGCGATGCGAACTCGCGAAGCACCATTCACAGAAGAAGTCAGCGATGCGACAACATCTTGCTGATTTGGGTATGCCACCATGGTATTCGCGCGGTTTGGTACAACTTGTACAAATTTGTAGGCAACTCTTGAACCTTTGTACAACTTTGCTGTAGAAAAGGTCAAAATCGTACGCCAAATCGCTTGTCGCATCGCAAAAGTTGAGCCAAGCTCAACTTCTGCGATGGCCCAGTTGCGGCAGTTACGTGGGGTGCGAGATGGCTGCGATTTGGGGATTTCCCGGTTTCGCGGCAGTCGTATCGTGTGTCGCATCGCAAAAAAGCTTCTGTGAATCCCGCGTAAGGGAAAGAGTAGAGGCCGGGCGTTAGGAGCTAGGACCAGTGAGCTGTGCTAAAGTCAGCAAGGAGTAAAGTATTGAAGTGGAAGCTAACGCCAAAGGTAAATGGAAACAACAAAGCGGAACAGCAGAACAGCGGACCGGCAACAGAGACTATAGATGATAGCTCTGTGGTAATGAATAGTCACACGGCCTAGGCCTTATGTGATCCACAGAGGGTGGTGGCGTCCCGACGGATGCAGAGAACTTGGCCTCCAGCCGAATTTAACGCAAACCGTATTTGTTTTTGCGTTGAAGGGCGACAGCGAGAGGTTGACTTATCGCAATCAAATGGAAAGGAAAGAATAGTGTGCACTAATGCCGAACATGGATGAGAAAGTGTAGTAGAGGCACCCATGTGACTGGTCGAACACATGGCACTACTCCAGGCAGGCCGAGTGTGGGGAGAATGCATGGCACTACTCTGGGCAGGCCGAGTGTGGGGAGAATGCACTACTCCAGGCAGGCCGAGTGTGGGGAGACGGTACTTAGACAGTAGACGCAATAGAAGATGACAGCAGAAGAGGCAGTAGAAGATGGTAGACTTGGTCAGCAAACTGATGATGAGACAGACACTTATTACCATATACGGATGGGTGCTGACATGACTACCAGCCGTTGGTTGTCAGAGGTCAAAGGCATGTACCCCAGATGAAATTGACGGGGTGACCCAGTGGTCGACGGTTACGGTAAGGTTTGGCTGGTGCATGAGCAGCAGGCAGCAATGGCTGGTGATTGGCTGATGCATGAGCAGCATGCGGCAATGGCTGGTGATTGGCTGGTGCATGAGCAGCAGGCGGCAATGGCTGGTGATTGGCTGGTGCATGAGCAGCAGGCGGCAATGGCTGGTGATTGGCTGGTGCATGAGCAGCAGGCAGCGGACAGGTGATTGGCTGGAGCATGAGCAACAGGCGGCAATGGCTGGTGATTGGCTGGCATGGGACGAGTCTCAGGGAACGACTCAACACTATCGTCGACTTCATCCTGATACAGGCTATCGGTCACAACGGGAGCATATGATGGCGAGTCAGGTTGTTGAGCACTGGAGCCAATGGCCATTGCGCTGGATGTGGCAGGAGTGCCCCACTCACGACATGCTGGAGCGGCGTAGCAAGACGGTAGATCTTCCACCGACTCAGTAGACGTTTCTTGTTCCGCCATCTCAGGGATGGTGGCCAAGCGTTCAGGACGAACGTGGCAGCGCTTTAGACGATTCACATGTGAACCACCTGGAAGCATCCATGAGGACCGGACAAAGTTTGGATGCGGTGCACAACATCCGTGAGGCGGTCTCGTACCGTAAATGGTCCACGCCACAGTTTGGACAGTTTCTGTGCTGTACCGACCGGGACGGCGGGGACTAGCAACCAAACGAGGTCAGCAGCTAGCAGGAGCGAAGCGCAGTAGTAGTGAGTACATGTACTGAAGTACTTGTACTACTATCTATACAGGGTCATGACATGTGTGTACTGAGTCACTGTACTCATAACTGTGTGCTCTCTCCTTATCCTTTTTCTCTCTCCCTCTCTCTCTCATTTTCCCTCTCTCTCTCATTTTCCCTCTCTCTCATTTTCCCTGTCTCTCTCTCTCATTTTCCCTCTCTCTTTCTCTCTTCTCTCGCACACATACACACAAACACGTGATTGTGTGTTTCTGTTTATGCATGCACACACGTTCTCTCTGTCATTGCAGTTGATCTATGGAGACGGCCACGACTTAGGATCTTTCTACTCGAACCGAATAAAGGTAATAGGCAGGGTGATGGTCAGTGTGACCAACTGAGCTCTGGAGGGTAAATCGGGGCAAACCCTCTAAATCATATTTCACAATGTCTGGGCATGATGTTTAACACAACTCTACCATTCGTTATAGTGAATGTGTGTGGAGTGAGTGTCAGTGAGACTACGGTGGTCCCTCCACTCCTTTACCTTTAGCACCACTCTTGTACCTGTCACCAGCAGGTGCGAACACCTGCACACATGCACACACATACACTCTTAGGCAGCAGCAGCAGCAGCCCATGATCCCAATCCAATAGTCCAATGTGAGGAGTACTAAGTGAACCAGTACGCCCAGGTGTGATGTAAACCAGTACACCCAGCCGTGTGATGTAAACCAGTAACAGCCTGGTGTGGACACTGGTCTGGTGGTCTGGTGTGAACACTGGTCTGGTGTGAACAGTGTATGACACAGTGTGATTGGCCAAGAGGTGCTATCACAGTGCAGTTGAGTGGACTGGCTCATAGTTGGTTGCCAGGGTATAAAAGCTCTGAAGCCTAGTTTAGTTTGACCTCTTCAAGCTCAACTGGAATAAAGCTGCTATTACCCCAAGCCAACCTGAAGCCCAGCAAACCAGTGCTCCCAGCAAGTGGTTGCCAAGACTGCTCTCGAAGACTGAATCTGCTCTCAATAGGAATATGTGCCAAGCATTGGAAGTGGCACATTTCATCACGGGGTTAGTTTTCTTCTCATTTCACGGTATCCGCAGTGGACCGTACTAGTTGTGGTGTAATGGCGTTCTGTACGTGTTCTTCCGCTGTGTCCCGATGTGTGCCGGTGTGTGCCGCTGTGTGCCGCTGTGTCAGGTCATCTCAAAACCATCTAAGAAGAAGCAGTCTGTCAAGAATGCGGAGTGTAAGCCGAGTACATAGTGTGGTGCCCGTGACATTTATGTTGCATCCTGTGTACTTCACTGGCTGTTGATTTACAGTGGCATGCTCCAGTGTATGGTCCACTTGGGCTGAACGGAATGGGGGCATGTTGGTGTGTGTGTCAGAGAACTCTGCTGATTGTGTGCCTGTAGAGCCATGGTGATTGTGTCCGTGTAGAGCGTTGTGTCTGTAGAGCTATGTGACACATGGTAGTTGTAGTTGACAGCAGGGATTCTTCTGGACTAGATGATGTTACCTATGCTACTTGTAAGCACGACTGCTAGCACTCGAGCAAATCTAAACCGATATAATGTGTCACTAGTACTGTGCAGGAAGACTCAATAGAAACCTGTTTTTTGTTTTGTTTTGTTTTTGTTTTTGTGCGCTGCCTGTTCCTCTACTCCTGTGCCTGCTATGTTGTCAGCAGTGTGCATTGCATCAGGCACGACCATTGCACTGTTCAATCGCCTGCGCTCTCAGACCGTCAGTACCCGCTATCTGCACGTTCCGCGCAGCCACTTTGAAGCCAGCAGCAACGAATGGGGTGCCTTCACCATCCATCTGCGTAAGTCGAATCCACACGCTAAGTTGCTAAATACTTGCAAAAGTGCTCGATACCACAAGGACAGAGCCGAATGACACAAGCTTGCACTGGAACAAGCGGTCTAAATTTCTGTTGTAACTGTTGAGTTTCATGGCTATTCGGTCACTGTTGCATGATCATCAGACCACTATGATCATTGCTGTGTGATGATTGGCTGAATTGCTGAATAGCTGAATAGCCATGGAACTCGGACTCGTACGGTAACAACAGAAGAGAATCAACGTGTACAGTAAAATTCAATTATCTTAGTTGTACTCGATGTACTCGATCGCAGCAATTTCTCTTACCGTGCAATGACATTATTGGTTGTCATGGTAACCTTCATTGTCCTGCAATCCAACATTCCAAGTATTCAGTCAATAACATCTCAGTCCTAGGTAGGTTTCTCCACTAGTTTGCCACTACATACTTAGTGTATTATGCACGCAGGCGGCTCATTCCCATTGCTCTGTGTCCTTGGCATCACTATTGTGCGTTCTGTGTTTGTGTCGCTCTTCTTAGTGCCGGACGATGAGAAGGAAGATGAGGAGTTCACGACGTGCGAGGGTTTCATTCACTATGGGCACACAGTGAAGCTGGTCTGCACCAAGACTGGTATAGCGTTACCAAGACTGGTTAGTGCACTATGACTGGTCAGGGTTCTAGCCAGGTCAATATAGTAGGGGGGCGGGCATGGGAAAAATTACCCCATGACCCATTTTTTCCATTGTCCAAAATTGTCTTGCCATGCAAAATGCGACATGCAGGGTGAACCCCGACTTCACCCCTCACAAATGTGCCTTTATGAACCCTGTAGTAGTGACTATCGACTGTATTTTCGTTAAATGGCGTGAAAAAACACAAAAATCGGAAAATGAGTAGGGGAGGGGGGGGGGGCACTTTTTCACAGGGGGCGCGCCAAAGGAGTAGGGGGGCGCTGCGCCCCCCTACCCCCCTTTGGCTAGAACCCTGCTGGTATAGCGTTACCAAGACTGGTTAGTGCACTATGACTGGTATAGCGTTACCAAGACTGGTTAGGGCACTAACTGGTATAGCCTTACCCAGGGGAGTCGGAACCGGTGCGGCAGGTGCGCTCAAAGCCGCACCGATAATGAGCTGGACCCCCACCTTTTCATAGTTACACCAATGAAGAATACCTTCCGATGAAGAATACCTTCCGATGAAGAATACCTTCCGATGCCCCTGTTATCAAAACTGTGTAGTCCACTACCCGTGTACCAATGTTCAGGCGCGTACGCAGGGTCACCTCTAGGGGGGTTTCCAACCGAATCGCAAACAATGACTCGTTCTAACCCTTTCTAAAGAGCCCTAGGAAATTTTCAAAATTATGCATTTTTCGTGTTCTTTGGATCATAACTACAGTTACTCACTCAATCTTCATTATCTTGGGCTTCCTGGAAGTGGAAAGGTACCAGGGAGAGAATGAGGTCGACCATGATACTCCAAGACACAGTACAGTCATGTACATATCCAGCGCTTTGGATATTTATAGCGGTAGAGTGCAGCGACGGTGCGAAAAAATGCCCCAAACTCGACGGTGCGAAAAAATGCCCCAAACTTTGGGGCATCTTTTCGCACCGTCGCTGCACTCTACCGCTATAAATAGCTATAGCGCTGGATATGTACATGACTGTACTGTGTCCTGGCCAAAAGCCCAAACGCGTTCTGCTCCAGCGATTTCGTTTTTCTTGATCGCAGAGTGATACTAGTACAAGAGTTTCGATTGTTTGGCTGTGTTCTCTTGAAAATATCACAAGTGAAGCCCCTGCAAAATTGAGCAAGTCAGCGCGACGAAAAGTCCCAAATTCTGGATACTCCAGTCGCACTGCGCACTTTTCAAAATGGAAGATCGCGGCTCAACTTGCGAATGATTTATCTCAAGAGACATTGCTCGCAGCGCGTCGAAAATTGTTTCAACGGACAGCTGAGAGTTTTCTATTCTACCTGGATATTCGGATCGTTGGATTTGAGCGAGATTTGACTGAGTTGCGATCTGTTGAAGTTTTGCATTCTTGCCAGATCGATCGTGGGCCCTACCAAAAATGCCCCAAAACGTTGCTCGTTTGGAACATTTGGGGGGTTTCCGGGCAACGGGAACCCCCCCCCCCTCCCCCCTGCGTACACGCCTGATGTTGCTTGGATGTGCAGCCATGGCCAGCACGGGCCTTGTTGTCACCATCTACCCGTACTTGCCATTCATTGCCACTCTGCTACATCCCTATTCATAATACTATCTAAGCCCGAAGAACCTTGGGTTAGGCTCATCATCTTACTTTGTCATGCACTGCGGTCTCTGTGTGGTTGTGCTTGGGTGACATCCCAACTTGTTCGCTCAGCTCCCAACACCATTCCATGCACTAGCTTCTATTTAAAATTAAAATACTTCAGCAGTTACCAAGCAGTCACCATGGCATTACCATGGAGTTATGTCTCATCTAGCACAAAGGTCACCTGGCACAGCAACCATGGTACAGTCAGACCTCGCTTAACCGCACACATCTGTTTTCCACAAAAATATCCGGATAGGCGAGGGAACCGGATAACTGAACACACATACGTGGCATGTGGCATGTCAAAAAGCAGTAAAGCAGTGACATCGTCCATACATGTACATGTAGACTAGACGGGTCCTATGCAGTACAGCTAGCGTGCACAGTATGTAAAACAAGCGAGAAAAATGACAACTGCATGCAACTGAGTGCTGTCTGCATGCACCCAGCACGTCAAGGACCTCATTTGCTTGTACAACTCCCTGGTTCTAGCTTCTGCTAGCCACATGCAGCCGGATACGACGAAGCTTTTTGTACACATTTTAACCAGTTTGTACACAAAATCATGCACCGGTATGCGGATTGCGAGGTCCCGTTATGTTGTATGCATAACATATGCTGCACATCGGTAACCAGCGATTTTTTCCGGATGGCGAGGGATCCGGATAAACGAGGACCGGATAAGCGAGATCTGACTGCACGTGCAATGCACTCGCTCTTTGTTGTCCACTGCTCGTTGCCGTGATCAGGTAATCCGCAAGGTGGACAAACAGGTGGCGCTGGTCGACGCAGATGATCCGGTGTCTCAGCTGCACAAGGTTGCATTCTACATGAAGGACACCAACCGCATGTACCTGTGCTTGTCACAGGACCGCATTATCCAGTTCAAGGTAAGAAAAAGAGAACTGTGGCTCCTGTGGCCCCACACCCCACACCCCACATGCAGCTTATACTCCAGTGCAACTTTTATTTTGTAAAATACGGTTTTCCCGAATATTGAATATTCCTTGCTGCAAGTTTGTGTCACCTTCCACTCATAACAAGAGTTGCTTGCTATTTCTCCTACGTGCTATTCCTAAAGTCCACCTCAACTCGCATGTCGACTGAACGTCCGCTGTATGTGACCTGTTTCTTTTTCGCCACATTTCTGCAGGCGACCAAATATCAAGATGATGACAGTCGTGACTCAATCAACGATGGAGCATGCTGGACAATTATCAGTACTGGTGAGTTGCTGCGTGTAACTATCACACACTGTCTGTACTGCACACAGGCTGTACTGTACACACTGCCGGTACACACTGCCGGTACACACTGCCGGTACACGGTGCATACTTACACTCCGATTGTGTTCAGTCACCAGGTCGACTCTAACCGGAGGCCGAGGGGTGCTGAAAATGCAATGGCAAATGTTGATTGAAGCAAGGCTTCTCCGAATCTGCTTAGTTTGCCCATCATGGAAAAGAGGCCTGGACGCCCTTGGGTTGTGTACCAGATTGTATAGATCATTGTTACACCATCACATACCATTCTCGCTCTGTAATGACTTCTCGCAGTCACGCGGTCGACCAGTCTCGAGTCTAACTGACTGTTCACAGAGCAACAGACCAGACCCTATACTGAATACCGGTACACAAGGGCCAGGAAGTACTACTTCAGACAGCTCAGTGCTCAGTGCCAAAACCAGATCCAGTACACTGGTCACGAAAGCCTGAGCTGGGTGCTCAATTGTCAAGTTATTAGAAGCACCCGTCGCACCTCCTGGATCTGCCCCTGGCCGGTCTCTCAGCTACACTAACAGTTAGTGACAACCATGTATACAATGGTATATGTAACGTTACTGCACACTGTGTATGGTGTGTGTAGAGTTCTTACTGAGTCATGTACCAAAAAGTACTGTTGATCTACCCACTCTGGAACTTTTTCCTGTGAAGCGACTCCTGGGCAGATACATGTACGTTGAACTACGGTGTTGAACCGATGCATGCACTACTAAATGGTAATATCGTTATAGCAATATTGTTCTAGAGGTAAGGCGTTGTATACACAAGTCAATGGAGTGATTTGGTTTGGCAGAAAAATATCGTTATAAGGGTAATATCGTTATAGAGGTTATCGTTATAAGGGTAGGTCGACTGTACGTAGAACTACGGTGTTGAACCGATGCATGCACTGCTAAATGGTACTTTACCATACTACCCGGCATCATTCAGACATGTCATCGAAACTTGAAAGCCAGGGTCTGGAAGTGCTTCGCTTTTGAACTTGGATCCTCTCAAGGTCATTCAGAGATTAGAAAATTGGCCTTGGAAAGGCAAACTTGATCATTGTCAGTGTTTTTTTGCAAACCCTTGTACAGCTGTAGTACAGTCTGGTTCAAAAACGAATGCCTTGTGAAATTGTTAATTGCTTGTACGTTTTGTACTACTTTCGCCGTGGTGCAGATGTGATGCGCTACACCTTCCACGAAGCCATGGGTCCAGTCTCTGACCCTGTGACACCTGTACCGCGTGTACTGTCTATGAACATGACTGGCTGCAACTCTCAGCAGTATGTCGAACTGATCGGTGAAGATTTCCACGACAACATGACCGTGTGGTTTGCCGATCTCATGGTGGACACTTTCTACCGGTATGGCGGATATTATCATAACGAGTGCTATCCTTACATTAGATACACACTTGAGTGTTGTCCATGCAATGGTGTCCGTACAGTAATGTACATAGAAAGCAGAGCAGGGAGTTGGCTTGCACCTTGCAGTTTCATGCAGGGCCAGTATCGGCGAACGGGGTAAATTAGCACTCGCATGGAACCCTCGTATATGTAAGAGTACATAACCCACCGGAGTGTGCAACTCGCGCATACCCTGCTGTACCTGCTGTCCCTGCTGTACCGACGTCATTTTTTTAAGATCCAATGCTCCTTGCACCAGTGATTTACGACATTTATACAGGGTGTCAACATAATTATCTCGTGTCTTTCTTTGCACTAGTTTGTACAGGATCAAATAGGGCTTTGTCCACCACAGGTTCAGGGTACGTCTGTTAATATGTGTACGGTGCACATTGCATCATTATACTAAAACTTTTAGCTTCGCAAAAACAGTCAGTAACCCCAGACAGCCCCTAAGACCAATTCCTGTTTGCCATGGTGGTTCAGCGCTGCACTGTACCTATATTTTCTCTCTCCCTGTGCTTTGTTGATCATCGCTATACAGCTGCAGTGAGTGCATCCTGGCTGTCGTGCCAGATCCGTGTGCACTGGACCCAAACTATCCAAACATGAACGAGTGCCTCAAGGTGCCACTGGTGATTGTACGAGAGGACGGTGTGGTGTACGACACGGCACGCGAGTACACCTATCCACCGCCAATGCCCAACACTGCCGGTGGTGCTGCTGCTGGTCTGGCACCGCCGCCACCGCCCTCGTCCAATCTCCTCAGCATGCAGTATCGACAAGCACCACAGCCACCACCAGCAGCAGCGCCACTCCAGCCAGAGTATATGTTACAGGATCACCACCAGCAGCATCACCGCCAGCAGCATCATCGTCATCATGCTGGTGGCGTGGGGCTACCAGCAGCACTGGATATAGCAGCTCTGGGTAACAGCACAATGGCTGCAGCACCACCAACTAGGCCCCTCCATTATATTACCTAATGAGTTCTAGCTTCTCACACTCCACACACACCCAGGTCAATCCTGGGAAATGACCAATAAAAGACCACCTGAGCAGTTCTATACCCATAACATTCTCCTTTCTTACAAGATGTCCACAAAAGACAGGAAACAACTACTTTTTCTCATATCTTTCTAAATTTCCTATTCTAAGGAGCGATAGCAGCAAAGAAACCTGGTGTACATTCTCTACACATTATATGTGAAAAAATAACGTTGAATATAAAGCAAGATGGGGGTGAAATTGTTGTTGGAATGGAATGTTCAGTTAAAAGGGGGAGATGATGGGGAGGGATAAAACCAAGGTAAAAATGGTAAAAATATGCAGCCGCGTTCAAGAAGTGGCACTGCCACTGCTACTGCTAATGGCGTCGCGCTTGAGATGAATAATGGGACTGGCCTGCACCAGAGACCAGATGTAGGGGATGAAGAACTCCACTGAATGCTCTTCCTCTACATACTGGTAGCGTAGCTCAGGAAACCTCTGTAACAAGACCGGCGGAGGAGGCGGCAGTGAGAGAAAAAAAAAGAATCACTTCTAATAAGTCTTCTATAAATCGTCAGAAGTTCAAGGGAATGACTTTTAATACTTCCAGCGAAATTAAATCATTTAATATCAGCGGGAAATCTCCAGGATCCGCTTGGGCCCAATCCTACCAGCATAACCTAGAGAGCTACGTCAGCTCCATTGGCTGCTGCTGTTATGCGCAAGAAAAGGCCTTACACATAAGCTCAAGCACAGAGGAGCGGCACTAGTTACCAAAAGAAGACTAGAAGACTAGCTGTACGAGTAGGAGTTGTAGATCAATTCACATAACCAGTGTGTGCACAATATCGACTTTGGCTAGATTTTGGTGTGCGTGTGTGCGCAGGATCTCATTTGTTTGGTCGCCTTACCGGGACAATATAGAGGGAGGGATGGCGGTCAATTCTAGGACAGAATAACGTTAATGGTGGCATGATGAAACATACGAACACACACACATGCACGCACGCACCATGGTTGAGTGATCTAAGAGGAGAGGATAAAGGAGCAGGGACACCAACACACACCCACACACCACGTACATGGGTGCACATATGCAGCACAGATTCAGATGGTTCTGACTACTTACAGCAAGACAGTCGGCAGGCCATTGTCGTGCTCCTTTGGATATCATGGCCAGCACGTCCTCTACAGAACCGCTACCAGTGTCCTCCAAGCGACTCGAAAAATAAGTTAGCACCTGAAAGCCAACACAGGTCAAAAGTTAAATTTAGTCCTAATCCAGACACACAATGATGCAACAGAGCAGTCATTTTCTTGACATCAGCCAACACTGCATGCTAGACAGTGGCCCTGAGAATCACATGGTACATGTACCTACAATGTGGTTCATTCGCCTATGCAAGCTATGCAAGCTATGCAAGCTATGCAAGCTATGCAAGCCATGCAAGCCATGACTGTACAGTAGGGCTGAAATGAACCCCAATACTCAATAGAGGCGAACGAAACATTCTGACGAACTCACGAACTATTCTTCGCAAATAAAGCCCCTACAAATGTTCACACACGCACTCCATCACATTCGTAAAACAACCTAGAATTGGACAATCTGCAATCACTTCCTTTTTTGAATACTAGTAGTAGGGATGTCAGCGAACGCACTGCGCAGGTCTCTGCGCATGCATTGCGTCATCGATTTTTTTAACGTGATCGCGGCTAGGGACCCGGCAAATATGCCGGCACTAAATCGAGCATTTTGGGTGCAAAAATCATACGAGCATAATCGGTGATTTCGCGGGCATAATCGGCTGGTTACTGACGTTTGTCGAGTAGATAGTGCGGATGAGGAGGAGGCTGAAAGTGAAAGGGATGAGGAAAGCAAGAAGGTGGTTTCTCTGCTGGACAAGCTGAAACCAGCAAAGCTTAAAATTGAGAATGCATCTTTTCGTGTTGGATGCGAAGAAAGACCTGGATTTCAAGCGAAAATTTGTGAGAGTTTCTGGGAATTATCGGCATGGTTTCAGGCATTATCGGCTTGTTTGAAAGAATTGCGAGAAAGCATAATGGGTGATTTTTCGAGCATATTTGCCCGGTGCCTAATCGCGGCCGACAGAGAAAACATGGCCGCGGTCTGTTTGCACCGCTGGGAGTCGTAAAATTACTGTTCTTCTGTCCCCGCGACCATCCAAATCATACGCGATACGAAGGACCCACCTACTCACCACGTTCTCCCGGTCGAATTCTCTGAAAGTTTGCACATCGTGAAACACCAGTACGAGAGGTGTTCAGGCCAATTTTCAAGGGATTTCCCTGGTTGGATCGTTCCAAAATCGGACTTGCATTTCTCACTCGCGGCCATTTCTTGCGCGATGGAAGCGCCCTGCCCTGGTGAGTAACCAGCGTCGCGCTTGGTAGAGAGTTGCTGCAATCAGCTCCCTGATGTCTTCGCTGCCATTGTCAGAAGCGATGGACCATGAATTTGTTTGAGAGTCTCTGGATGCTACTATTCCTCAGCCTAGTTTTCAGCCATTCCGTGCATCTTCTTCGCACGATTTATTTTGCAAAAAAATGAAAGTGTTCATGAGTTTTCTTGTCGGCCGCGCGTAGATGGGCCAGGCTGACCTGCGCAGATGGGCTGCGCAGTGCGTTCGCTGATATCCCTACTAGTAGATGATGTTACTTGTAATGGGGATATGGGGCCGAGGGTGGCTGGCTGAGCTTTGCACGTTGCGTGCGTGTGCGCACCCCTCCCCCCCCCCCCACACACACACATGTACACACACACGCACGCATGCGCACGCGCACACACACACACACACACACACACACGTGCAGCACCCCTACTCACCATATCAATATTGGACATGATATCAGAGAAGGCAGGCAAGGTAGAGTAGGGCGCTAGGACACGCTGACGATGTAACAGTGCGTAGATCAGATGCTGATTGTGAACCAGCATTGATGTCAGTGCAGCATTGACAATCTCCAAGATAGTGCGCAACACCTCTTCCAATGCAGGCAGGTCCCATGACTACACATGCGACAAACAGATGAACATAAAAAACACAAACAGGTGCAAACATGGCAAGCATGATCATGAAAGTGTTCGCCGCAGGATAGCAAAGATTGCACCTAGCAAAGATAAGAGCATGTTTTGCAGTACTGCGTAATCCACTCGACGGCACTATCAACTCGATTTCCTTCCTGCTGTTATACCTCGATATTTAGGGACTTGTTTCCCTTTTTCCCATGCTTCATCTTCCACTCTCCTCTCCCCCATTTTCCCATTTTTCTTGCTACATTTATGTAGGAGACTTCCGTGATAAGCATCCATTTGCTTTCGGAGAATCCTTTTAAACAAATACAATACAACTGCAGCAGTGCATTACAAAGTACAAAACTGACATACCTGTGAGTCTTTCTGTTCACAGTACACAACAATGGAGGACAGTTTCACAGCAGAGCCGAAAAAAGCTGCTACCGCACTGCACACAGCGCACTACAGACCTACTGTAGAAAAGCTAATAATAGCGGGTAGAAATTTTAGGGTTTTCTGAATCAGGACCAATATGCTATGAATTACTTTAGCAATCCGAGTTTCAGAGTAAAAAAAAGAAAGAAAGAAAAGATGACTCGTACTGTACTGTGCATGCAAATGTTCTACAATCCATTTCAAAACTATAGACGCGTAGGGTTTTTGAAATATTTCAAATTTGGCTGGAACTTTTTGAGAATAGTTTTCGGAATATTGCTCAGGACCGCTCCACAATTACTCTCATATAGTTTCTAAACGATTGGATAACAGACGCCCAATTTGGAAAAATTTATGCACAAAGTGATCACAGATTTTATGTGGTATAGATGCTGGCATAACGGTTTTTGCCTAGGTACGCGTCTATAGTTTTGAAATGGACTGTAATGGTGCGGCAACACTGTAGCGAAAACACTCCTTTCGCTAAAGTCGCTAAAATATCACCGTCGCTAAAATTAGCCGTTTTACAGTTGCCATACCTTGCCATGTTTTCCTTGCAGAACTAATGTACAGCTATGTCAGTTCTCTTCAAGAACAGCAGTACCAGTAGCAAACTAGAGCTTAGAGCTTAGGGGCATATTATATGTGCAACTCCAGCCAGGGCTGGAGCGAGCGGGCCAGCCCGCCGAGAGTGTTTACAATTACATGTGCACGGCCGGGCTGGTTGCCAGCCCGCAGTGAGTTTATATGCGCTGAGCACATGCCAGCCCGTTGTGAGTATGCAACGAACACACTACGACTGTAGTGTGCTGCTCCGGGCTGAAACGCAGGGCTGCAAGCCATACTCATGTTATAAACCTAAAAAAATTCTCACGCAATGTATTCTTCTGCTGATTTCTTTTCGCGCTATGGCACATGCTTGGTGTGTTGTATCACCTCGTTTCTTTTTCTTGTTTTTCACATTTTTTAGCTGTCCATATCAAAGTATTTTGCAAGTAGCTCCCCTTCCATTGTAAAATACAATCATGCATGTCGACAAATAAACAGTGCTCACGGCATGTCCTTCTTGTTGCTGTACAAAAAGCTTCATAGATTTTCAAGACAATATCGGGAATCCTCTTTAAAACTTACTTCCCTCAAAAGGTAAAAGTACCTATTTTGTAGTATGAACGCAGTGTCGACACCATAATAATACAACTCTGGCCCGGGCTGGGCTGTTTATATGTGCTTTTTCTGGCCCGCCTAGCTGGGATCCCGGGTGCCTCGAGGCGGGATCCCGCCTCGCCGGGCCAGCCCGCTTGCCATCTAAATGCACCACAGGTTTTGTGTGGATTTGTGTACAACCCCGAGATCCCGTTGCAGGCGGGCTGGCCCGCCTGTCGACCAGCCCGGGCTGGAGCTGCACATATAATCACCCCCCTAGAGACACCCCAGCTAGAGTATCGAGCAACAACATCCGACGAAGAAAAAACACCGGTTCGACACCGCCTGATCAACTTTCCGGCTGCGCCGTCAATGCATCTGCAGTCAGTGCAGTAACCGCAAGTAAGGTTTTCTAGGTGTAGGCAAAGAGTGATAGTGCACACGGTATAGGGTATATGGTGGTACAAGTATCCAGTTCGAAGTACCTGATCATCGGAAGTCTCGGCGGTGTCCTTCACAGAATACGGCTCTCTCCTCAGAAGTTTCTGGTGCTTCTTCGACAGAGCCTCAAAGAGTCTGAGCAGACAGAACAGAGGTGGATGGAAATGAAAACAGCATACCATTGTCCGTACAGATTCTATCCCAGTGCGGACAAGGTCTACTTTTGTCAAACAGCAGCTGAACACACACACACACACACAAAGCTATTGGTGACAACAGCAACAACAACAACAACAACAACAACAACAACAACAACAACAACAACAACAACAACAACAACAACAACAACAACAACAACAACAACAACAACAACAACAGGCTATCGTGAGAATAAAGATTTGAACAACAACAACAACAACAACAACAACAACAACAACAACAACAACAACAACAACAACAACAACAGCAGCAGCAGCAGCAGCAGCAGCAGCAGCAGCAGCAGCAGCAGCAGCAGCAGCAGCAGCAGCAGCAACAGGTATGAGAGGAGTGGATGCAAGCTTTAGCGCTGCATGGCAAAACAAAAGCAAAGCCCATCGAGACGCGACAATTCATTCACGGTGACAAGTGAAACATATGAACCATGCAGGCATCCCCCCCCCCCCCCCCACACACACACCCCCATGCTGAAGACTGAACATACAGACGTGCAACAGCAACAACCTAACTTTTAAAACAACTGATGCCAAGCACAATAGCCACATGTCACATCAAGGTTTTGACAGTTCGCACAGGAACGTACTGTCGCCTTACCCGAGTAAACGCTGCGCCGCAAAGGCGTTCAGGTCTCGAAACGATGCACTCATGTTGGCAAGAGCAGCGAGACAATTGTTGTGTAGAAACTTATCCTGAAAAGCAGCAGCAGCATTGGAATAAAGCATGCAGCAATCAACACACACAATAGTATACAAAAGTATATAGGTACAGACAAGCAAAAAATAAACAATCTATTGAGCCTACAGTTGCGTGTTAGATATCCGACACCTTCAAGACTGGACATTGTTGGATAAAATAAATATTCTGGGTACCTGAAGCTATGATTATATTTGTAGGTTTGTGTACATGCATCAAGTTCTTTGTTTCTTCTCACTGAATATGCAACATGTGGGTTTTCTGGACCTGAGTGCCCAAATACACGAGTTAAACGTTCACACATACACTCATACACACACTTACACATACACACATAAATAAACTTACACACACATCATTCAAATCATCATTAGCACTCACCCTGATCTTTGCCATGTTGAGTTGAATGATACGCAACAGCACAAGAACCATGAGACTGCCCAGACTGATAGTTCCAAGACCACGCTCTTTATACCATGGTACAGATTTCAGCTCCTGAGAGAGAGAGAGAGAGAGAGAGAGAGAGAGAGAGAGAGAGAGAGAGAGAGAGAGAGAGAGAGAGAGAGAGAGAGAGAGAGAGAGAGAGAGAGAGAGAGAGAGAGAGAGAGATAGAGAGATAGAGAGAGATAGAGAGAGAGAGAGAGAGAGAGAGAGAGAGAGAGAGAGAGAGAGAGAGAGAGAGAGAGAGAGAGAGAGAGAGAGAGAGAGAGAGAGAGAGAGAGAAAATATCTCGTCCAGTTACCAAATGCTAGTGTGAGAGCGGTCATGTCAGTAGATACACATTGTCCACGGTAGCCTACCAAATGACACACACACATACATACACACATACATACACACACGCGCACGCACGCACACACACACACACACACACACACACACACACACACACACACACACACACACACACACTCTCACATACAACCGCTGGAACGTACGATTTCATGTACAGCACGGTTGAACTGTTCATCTTGCGTCAAAATGAGGATGTTAATCAGAAGCATCAAAATGTGATGTTGCTGAGACTCGTCCGCTGCGTACAACATTTGTAGCAATGGTAGAACCTAGAACACACACACACACACACACACACACACACACATACGCACACCAAAATTGGCAAAAAGAAAAAAAGGGCGTGGATGCTTTACTGTAGAAGAACAACGCACACAATCAACGCTGGCCGGCATTTCACAGTGGTGAACAGGAGAGTGCAACAGAGCAGCATTAAGTATACAGACAGTGTACGCATTGTTGAATCACATCGCTCTGTGCATGCACGCCATCAGCCCTTTTTTCTGGCATGCTGCTTCTCTGTGTGGACTGGTGTGTTTGACGGTGCACTTTACCGTGTCCATGAATGATTGATCGAAAGGGAAAAGAGCCTCAGTCTGCGGCTGATCCAGAGAAGTACATGTCGGTGCACTGACTACTGGGGGTGGGGGCAAAGCAACCTGATTTAGCCGGTAATACACAAGAAATGCCTGCCGCCGACCTAAGACTAAGTATGCCACACAGACAAGTAGAGCCAGCTCTAGCAGACAGGGCTCATTGACCATGCTTGCAGACAGTGCTCATTGACCATGCTTGTAGACAGTGCCCATTGACCATGCTTGTAGACAGTGCTCATTGACCATGCTTGTAGACAGTGCTCATTGACCATGCTTGTAGACAGTGCCCATTGACCATGCTTGTAGACAGTGCCCATTGACCATGCTTGCAGACAGTGCTCATTGACCATGCTTGTAGACAGTGCTCATTGACCATGCTTGTAGACAGTGCCCATTGACCATGCTTGTAGACAGTGCCCATTGACCATGCTTGTAGACAGTGCTCATTGACCATGCTTGTAGACAGTGCTCATTGACCATGCTTGTAGACAGTGCCCATTGACCATGCTTGTAGACAGTGCTCATTGACCATGCTTGTGCTTGTAGTAGAGACAACACAGTCATGAGATATGCAACTTATCTCCATTTAAAATCTGTTTCATCTGTATAAACAATCTTATCTTACCAGGTTTTCAATGTCAGTGCGAGACAGTATGTAGCCGGACACACGTGGGTTGTTGTGCAGGAAGATATAGAGCAGCAGGGCGGCAGACGGCTCCGTGAGTTGACTGTGCATGCATGATGTAACATGTGAATATGTACATGCATGCACACACACACACACACACACACACACACACACACACACACACACACACACACACACACACACACACACACACACACATTCAAACACACACACACACACACACACACACACACACACACACACACATACACACATTCACAGCAAAGACATGGGTTCAGAGCAGGTACATTGTAGCCAGAACAAGGGAGTCGTGCTTCCAATTCCTCGTCCCACAGAACAACAGTCAACACCACTCCCTAACTGATGGGTTATGTTCAAGTATTTTCCATTGCACTGCCGAAATAGCTCAGTAGGGAGAGCGTTAGACTGAAGATCTAAAGGTCCCTGGTTCAATCCCGGGTTTCGGCATTATTTTTTCTTTGTTCTTTTGAATTTTTATAGTGTCGAAGATTACTTGCAAAAATTAATGGTTCGCGCGAGACTCGGCTAGAGGCCTGGTTTTCCACATCCGTATACGTAGGAACACGATCACCCTCAAGGATCAAGGAGCAGACTAAAATCCAATACTGTAAGACATGTAATTATAACGAGGAGGTAAATCTAACGTTCTAACGGGTGCGATTTTTTCGTTATAATAAATTCTGTTGAGGCTGTAATGCCTCATATGTGTTATGTGCGGATACGCCTGAAAACTGCAAGATCGTTAACGTATCTTCTCGTTAACCTATGAATTTTGGACCATCGTTAAATTTGCGACTCGTTATAATAACATGTCTTACAGTACTTGAAAAGCAAGAAAAAAAAGCATTCAGACAGTAGGCATGGAGGAAAGACTGGTAGTGTAGTGACTACACAGGCATCACTACAGGTAGCACAACAGATGATCAACAACAGCAGAAGGAAGCAGCAGCAGCAGCAGCAGCAGCAGCAGCAGCAGCAGCAGCAGCAGCAGCAGCAGCAGCAGCAGCAGCAGAAGTGTTACTTACGAACAGAGTGTATTATACAAGCCATCAAGGTGGAACGGGAACGACACATCACCTCGATCCAAGTCGCGATCTGTACGGGTCAAGCAGACACGACAGCATGTGAACAAACATAACATGCAGTGCACAAGTTAGCATGATAGAAACTAGAAAGCGAATACTTGGAAGAACTCAGGACTTGAACTGTTCATAGGAATTATGCACATGTATCCACATGCATGTTCTCTGCATAGAACATGTACGTATCGAATATAAGCTGAGTCCCGAGTGTTTTACGGGAAATAAAAACCCGAGGCAAAAACCCGAGGTGAAGCCGAGGTTTTTTGCCGAGGGTTTTTTTCCCGTAAACACGAGGGCGAAGCTTATATTCTATTTAAATTATAGTATAAAAAACCTCCAGGCTCTAGACTGTTTTTTTCCTAAAACGTGGTTTTTTATAGCACCAGGTTTTTAATACAGGTTTTTTTACAGCACCAGTTTTTTATACAGGTTTTTTATAGCACCAGGTTTTTTTATATGAGTGATTACCAGAAATATTAACTGCTTTTTAGAACACGCAAATGACCGGAGGATTTTTATACAGGTAGACTCCCTTTAATTCGAACCTCAAATTGCCAGGCCCTAACTTCGAATTATCCAGAACTTCTAATTATCCAAATGCAGCCCCAGGCACTGATATGTATGTCAAAATGCTTGAAATCGCATGCTGAATATTTTTTGCACGTTCTTATTTGCATCAACGAAACATAGGTGGTCGTACCGGTCGTGTACAACGGATCATCAAAACACTGGATCGACACAAAATCATTTTGACATCTTCATCTTCTAGTGAAGAAGTTGTCAGTCACTGCAGCTTTCCTGAAACAATTTCAATGGAAAAGAACTGCGCTGCCTAATTCGCGTCATGAAAGGCTGTCGGACAGCAGCACGTCGTTCTGAAGAACGGAAGTGGAGCATAGGCATAGACAATATTTACGACAATAGTGTTTTTGTGCGCCAACATCTCCGCGCACGAGCTGGCGCGGCAAGAAAGGCCATCGAGATCCGCGAAGAGAGTCAGCCACCTGGAAGAAGTCGTCTTCAATAAAACCTTTGCAATTTGCCTCGCACGGGCTTGAAAGAAATTTCGAGAGAAGGTGGGTTTCTTGAACGCTATAGTTGATCCTGCAGCGGACCATCGATCGATTTTTGAGCTACTCTTGGCTAGAGAAGGAGAAAAGAATGAACTTCGAATTGAAAGGATAGCAACTCAATCTCACTTCGAAATAAGCGTTCAAAGGACATAGCCAATGTACTGTAAATAGCTCTCTGTACGAAGACTGGGTTCGAATTATCCAACCGGCGCACTTTTTGTACTTCGAATTATGCATTCGATTTTGACTTGAAGTGACTTGCAGAAGATCGGTACGACGAAAAAGTTCGAATTACACGGAATGTTCGAATTATACCGTATTCGAATTAGAGGGAGTCTACCTGTACTATAATTTAAATGAGTGTACTAATACAGTCGATTCCTGATATGATGAACATCAATGAACCGATGGTTCTGCACGGCCTTCTCAGTAATGATAGAAAGGTGACAGTTCTCTTGGTATGTGTTGATATCCAGGCCGAATATCGACGGTGTATGCCAGGCGAGTCCAATCTCGCGATGCGTTCTCTAGTTGGTGCCGACCTACAGCCCTCAACCACCCACCAGCATCTAGGAGTAGGAGAACATCGTATCGTTTGTCGGGTTCTTCCTGGTGCCAAGAATTTGCATCCACCCACACTTTTAAAGTATTCCTTTGAAATGCTTCGGATCTTCTGAGTTATGTCAAGCAGTGGAGTAACTGATTTCTTCTAGTTGCCTGAAGGATAGTAGTTTAGTTGGCCACTATCCTGGCTTGCTTGTCCTGTCCGCTTGTCCATACTTTTTTAAACAAACATTGATGTTGGTGTTCAATTTCTGAATAGTGGCACCTTTCTTTTTGTTTTCAAGGATCAAAGACCTTATTTTACCATTTATCTGCCTTCTCGTTCTGAGCAAGATGCGCTCAGTGCGGCTGATATATTGAATACTTACATTTCCCTGAGGAAGAATCATCCTGGTGTACTCTCAGACCAAGGATATGCTTTGTGAAATGTGCCATGTGCAGTTACTAGAGGGATTGTCTCGTTCTTTGCAAGCTTTTCGGTCAAAGGCAATACTGTCACATCCAATGCATGGCTGAACTGGTTAAGAGTACGGCACGTCCATGCACACCCGTCATGTACTTTGCCCTGACACGGTCACCCACTGGATTCACACTGTCATGTCCAAGGCTGGCATTGATAGCAGGCAGTAAGTTCAGTACCCATAGTGTACGTGCAGCATCTTGCTCTGCTGCTATTCATTGGAATGCTTGCGGCGCCTGCAGACGCGGTGCTGCACCGGGCAGGTGATTGGTCTGGCCTGTCGTCTTCTAGTAGACATTATGCAATTGCCTTCTCGTGCTCCGGCTAATGCCTTATTTTACAAAGTTCTCTTTCTCAGTGTTCTTGAGCGATTGAGAACGTTGTGCCAGCGTGTACCTCGCTGGATTTTGGCGTGCTGAAGATTGTTTTCGGGCTTTGAAGTTTCCTATCAGATTGGTTACCACTGTGCATACACAGTAATGATCATGAATACGGAGAGGAGTGAAGTAGAAATGTAGATCGGAGGAGCCTCGGCGAACTCCAATCAGAGTTCTACGCGTATCCTAGTAGCATTCATGAACACTGTGCAGTGTGCACCCACCCATCCCTCCCTTGGCTGTTGGGAAAACAATTTTCATTTTCTGTTTTTGTCTTTGTCTTTGGAAAACTGAGGAAGAAAGGCTGGCACATGAGGATACATGTTCCGGCTTTGTTTCTTTTGCACGTGCTTTTGTTCACGTGCCTTCGAGTTTTGCAAATCAGGTAGTAGTAAACCATCGGCAGATGACACGGCCCTAACTATAATTTTCGATGCCTGCCTCGCAAAAATATTTTTGGGGCAAATAAGACGATTTGTCAAATCGATCTTGAGTAATTGTCGAAGAACTGGAACAGCCTTTTTTTTATTTGTAATACATATGCGTCATTGTCATGTGGAAAGGCACCCCCTCCCCTCTTGCAAAATCCGTCCCAATAGACGGCATCGACAGGGAGAACAAAGTTGACTTCCTTGAGGAAGTAGTGTGTTGGCGTCGAAGAGCGATTGCGCTGATTTCGAAGTCAGATGTAGCCCTTGGAGCCCACATGATGCAAACTTTCTTCTCCTCAGTTGTGTACCTGTCTTGAAATGGTCAGTATTTCCCATTATCTGATACTGGAGATTTGCAAGTTCACTTTTTGGAATGAAATGTGAAATGTTCTCAGGTTCGTCAACAAATGAAAATGCGGCTACGTTGTCGTAAACAGCTTGTATCGACACAGAAAAATTTCCCGACACGCAGGAATGCCTCCCAAAGTGATACCACTATTGTCGGACTTCTATTGTAAAAATACAAGTAGTAGGTTGGTTGACTCCCAAAGAATTACTGGATATTCCCAGCGCCAAGTTTCTACAGGAGGCAGCAGGAGTCTCTTTGGCAGAAGGTAATTTACCACTACTCCCTACTCGAGAGTATCTGCAGCAAAATCCCTGCGCACTATACGTAGATCTACGCATGCACCTACTTTGGTAACCATCTTGCCCCATCTCAACCGCCGGGTGAAAACAGTTCTGACGCAATCCTCAAACTGGTCAAGTATGCTCTTGTGAAATGTTGATATTCGACTACTGCCGGGTCCAGACAGTCTCTAAAAAACAATAGGGTACAAGGTGCAAATGAAACAGATCAAGACTTGTCCAGACTTGCACCAGGTACTTGCCTAATCCACATACGGGTTTGTAGTGGATAGGAGTTCCGTTATACTGAAGTGTCACCGCATCCCAAGCAAAGTTAAGTTATGAAAAAAGGTATGGTAAACCTCAACCATGGCAGCATGGCCAAGCTAACTCTTGGCACTGCCAGGTAAGCACAACTACTAGACTCACCCCGATCATCGGCAATACATGCCAAGGAGAAGTGGAATGGGTTCTTCTGACCCTTCTGCTGGAAGTAGTTAGTCAGGACGAGCAGCAGGTGTAATGCCAGGTGAGCTAGCGGCGATGTAACCACTGTAGATGTGCTGCTACTGCTGCTGGATTGTGCTGCTGTGAATACCATGGACCACAGGCCACCTACGCAATACACACCATGGACATAAATAACAGGCACAGACTTCATGCTACATGTCACAAATCATTAACTTCAGTGGAAATCGTATGGAACCACATTCAGCCTTTGCCATTTACCATACCGGTAAGTATAACTAGTTACTTAGTGGGTTTTGCATCTCAGATCCTCAAAGAAAAATGACTGGCGGCAAAGTACTGCCAAACCAAGCACAGTCGACACACCAGTAGAATGTCATGATGCACTGCACATGATGAAGTTTACATCGTGTATGTAGGTCATGGAAGCCACGTGGGTTTTCGCCATTTATAGAGCTTTTTCAAGGACACCTTTCCCCGCCACCGCCTCGGCGATCACCCCGAGATTGTGGTGAACAGGTCGCATGTCAAAACGCATTGAAAAGTATACGAAATGTGACAGGTTCGTCCCCATCAACACTGGGAGCGATTCTGAAGCTTGCTCTTTTTCGCCCAAGCCATGAGAGGGCTTCCTGGCAACTGCTCTGACTCAACACGAGTGTCGGACATCAAGTGGAGTGCCACTCTACTGCTTCTTTCACCTCCACGCATCCATTCCCATCCAAAGTGAACGTGAACTGGGCTTCGCCTGATCACCAGCGATTCAAAAATTTCTCGCACGTGACCTCAAAAAGTGACAGTTGGTACAACCTTGAAAAAGCTCTATTGGATAATGCAAGAAACCTGGAAGAAAGCCCCCATTCTAAAACTACCATAGCATGAGCATAGCTGGTGAGTCATGACGGTGAACTTACTCAACAAACTAGCTGCTTCAGGTTTCTCTGGTGCTGGTGGTTGCTTGACAAAGTGAGTCAGTAGTGCTCGCACACATTCCTTGCAACAGTTACTGCACACAAGACACAGGACAGGTTGCAAGGCCACAATGGACAGGATTGTTAGTAAATGAGTAGTACTGGTGCATGTGCACAGCATAGGTCATCACACACCTTGTATTCATTACATGTGTTGCATGCATGTTGTTTTACCGGAGGTTGTACCGCGCAAGGCTGTGCTGTCACATACCGCGCCAGTTTTGGCGCGTCGTGTACGCCATTATTTCCTAGGCTACAGCAGAGGTATTTAGGGCAACTCGTGCATTGTTGGGGAGTTGCGTTAGGAGAATCTGGGAGGAAGAAGTGTTCTTTTGGATTCTTCTGTTCTTCAGTCTAATGTTCGTTCCTTTTATATACCAAATGATTGTACTGTCAACTATCCTCTGTCGCTAGTTTTGGACGTGCAAGTCTGTGGCATTTGGGAACAGCTTTGGTGCCGAAACCCGGGAATACTCGTTTGGACGAGTGGAGTTTCGTTTCGTTCGTGGCCAAGGAAAACTTGCAGGATGTCGTTGAAACTTGGTGGCTTCTTGAAGCCTTTCAAAGGCGTCAGAGGGGACGACCTTGCGTCGTTCTGGAAGAAGTTCGAGGTACTGTGTGTTGCGGAGAAATGGGATTCTGATGACGACAAGATGGCCCGTCTTCCGCTGTTGTTGGATGGTGCGGCATTCGTCGTGGTGGATCAGATGTCCGATGGCGACAGGAAGGACCCGAAGAAAGTCAAAGCTGCGTTGGAGACGGCGTTTGCTCCATCGGCAGCTGAAGCATACCACTTGTTTGTCGGTAGGCACTTGCCTTTGGACGAGACTGTGGATATCTTCGTCGCGGATTTGCAGCGGTTACTGAAGCTGTCGAAGCATACACTCGCCGCGGACGGCAAAGATCCCGTGCTCATCGAACAGTTTTTGAGTGGCCTTCCAGCAGAGTTTAGCAGGACCCTTCGCTTGGAGCACGCAGCGAAATCGCACTCTCCCGGAGCTGGTGACCAAGGCTACAGCAACTCGCCCAGTGTCACCCGGTTTCACCAAGTGGTCCATGGGAGGTGGTTCAGCTTGACACATTGGAGCTGGGCCCCTCTCGCAGCGGTCGCTATCACTGTGTCTTGGTATGCGTCGACACCTTTACCAAGTGGGTTGAAGTGGATATCTTCGTCGCGGATTTGCAGCGGATACTGAAGCTGTCGAAGCATACACTCGCCGCGGACGGCAAAGATCCCGTGCTCATTGAACAGTTTTTGAGTGGCCTTCCAGCAGAGTTTAGCAGGACCCTTCGCTTGGAGCACGCAGCGAAATCGCACACTCTCCCGGAGCTGGTGACCAAGGCGCGGGTCATGCAGGCGAGTGGTGCAGTAGTGCAGGCTGCAGCAGCGGCTGCTGCAGGGGTGTCGTCGCCCACGCTGTGTTTCGCCTGTGGCCAAGTGGGCCATATGAAAAGTAACTGCCCCCGCCAGCGCTCCCGTGATCGGACGGGCGACAACCACGAACAGGGTCGCGCTGGTGCGCCACCAATCAAGTGTTGAAAGTGCAAGCAGCCTGGGCACATCAAGCGGAACTGCCCCACCAACAAGTCGACTAAGTCTGGTTCTGCTGCAGCATCGGCCTCGGCAGAGGACCGTACTGGCTTGTGTCTGGCCATGCCTCACAGTGCATGCAATGGTTTAGTGAGAGTGGCAGTGGACGTTTCGTCGGATGGTGGTGCAAAATGGAGCAGGCATGCATCGGTAGTGGACACGGGATGCACCACGTCTCTCGTGGAGCTGGCACTAGTGAGGAGGTTGGGTCTGCTGCGCAGCGTGAGGGATAGCAACGAGTCGCTTCTGACGATTCAGGGCCATACGCTGAACACCAGTGGCTGCGTCGATGTGATGATGCGACGTCTGGACGGTCATGTTTACTTACCGCACATATGCGCGACGCTAGTGGTGGTGGAGGACTTGGCTGCGCTAAACACCGACATTCTGCTGGGCGCAGACATTGCAGCTAAGACCGGAGGGGTGAACATCGCGTACGAGACCCCAGGCGGACGGCTGTCGTCAGTAGTGTTCGGTACCCGGCTGGACGTGATTGGTGCAGGTGTGGCATCTTCTAGCAAGCTGTCAAGTCACTTGTCTGTGAAGGAGAATGACGATGCCGTGACGCTCGAAATGACCGATGTTTCTGTGACCTGGAGCGGTAGCGCCGGCTATAGGGAGCCGCAGTGGACCTGGAAAGATGGTACGCCGCCGTCATCTCCCCTCGGCTGTGGCATTGGCGAGTACCCACGCAGCAAGCTGTCCAGCACGGGGAGCGTGCCGCCAACTCGCCCGGTGTCACCAAGTGGTCCACGGGAGGTGGTTCAGCTTGACACATTGGAGCTGGGCCCCTCTCGCAGCGGTCGCTATCACTGTGTCTTGGTATGCGTCGACACCTTTACCAAGTGGGTTGAAGTTCAACCACTGGAGCGGCACGACGCACAGAGTGTAGCCGCAGCATTCGTGTCCATATGCTGTCGGTGGGGTGCTCCACAGTAGTTCGATCGGACAACGGCACAGAGTTTCGCAATGCTCTGGTTTCAGCGGTCTACGAGACGTTTGGGGTGACGGTCGCGCATGGAGCAGTGCGACACCCACAGTCGCAAGGTGCAGCTGAGCGATTTAAGGGTTAGTTCACATAAGCAAAATCGGCGCCGCAAGACATCGCAAGACATCGACGGTGAGCCAGCTCCCGATCCGTTGCGCATACGGTTCCAGTACCAAATCTACTACAAAGTAGTACATAATGTGCCCAAATGCTACGACAGGTTTGCCTGAATTCTTTGTTTCTTCAGTAGTTCAAGCTCTTTCGGTGATGGCCACTCGGTGCTACCTTTTACTGGAGATCATGAAACTACTTCTACACCTTTTATTGCAGTCTAGTAAGCGGTGGTGTCGAAATTAAGCGTGCAAACGTTTATGAAGTCCCACGAACTTGTCTATGTATCCTTCGTATTTTTTATTTTTATTTCAATTGTATTTGTCTCATAAGTTGCACAACAGTCAAGCAGATCATCCGAGAAGGACGGGTTGGTATGCTGACTTAATTTGCCACCTTGAAACGACAACAAGAATTGCGAACGGACCTCATCTTTGGCTTCAATTTAGGAAAATTTAGGATGAGTCTTGGTTCGAAATTTTGACAAAGTCTGGCTCCTGGCACCGGCGATCACCGGCGCGAACGGTTCACAAACCACTTTTGGTCAAATTTGTACGGGATCGGCGCCGGGGCAGATCGCAAGAGTTGGGCATTGTCCAACTTTGCCGGCGATCCACTGCGATATTTTACCGTATGATTTTGTTACGACTGCACTGATTCACATAATCGCAATGCGCCGGGAGAGGTTGCAAGAGGCCCACTCCCGGCGCGTACCGGCGATATGTGAACCAACCCTAACCAAACGCTGCTGATGCTCATCAGGAAGGTGCTCGGTGAGTCAGATGATTGGGTGCTCGACCTGGATCTGCTGCTCTACTACTACCGTGTTCGCCCCCACAGTGCGACTGGAGTGTCGCCGATGAAGGCCATGAGTGGTTGGAGTCCTCGTGATCTTGTGATCGATCAACCACCAAGCCGCTACAACATCTGTTCATGGGTGGCTGAGCTGGATCAGCGATCAGCAGCCATCCGCAGTATGTTGGAGGAGACATATGCGGGAGTTGACTTCCTGGATCAGCCAACACCGCGGTACCAGCCTGGAGACAAGGAACTGTTCCTACGTCCTCCACGTCGTCAGAAGCGGTTTGCAGCGTACGAGGTCGGTTGGGTGGTGATGAAGCACGTCGGTCCGTCAACGATTCTGATTCGACATGCTGGGCGTGGTTCGGAGAAGATCGTGAATGTGAAGCTAGTCAAGCGTGATCCGTCTCCTGCTGGAGAGCAAGACGGAGGAGACAACGGTGAGCTTCCTGATGTACCATCTGAGTTAGATGATGATCAGCCAGAGCAAGATGAGGAGCAGTACTTGTTTGAAGTCGTTGACCTGCCTGCAGCTGCACCTGCTCCTGGACCTGCTCCTGCAGGTGCACCTGGTCGGGTCTTGCGTGACCGATCCCGACTGCAAGCACCTGCTCGTTACCGTTGACGATTCATGTTTTGGGTTTTTTTTGCTATGCTGTTTCTGAAGTGACATGCGTCACTTGGGGGACATGGTGTTAGTATATGAGTACTGGTGCATGTGCACAGCATAGGTCATCACACACCTTGTATTCATTACATGTGTTGCATGCATGTTGTTTTACCGGAGGTTGTACCGCGCAAGGCTGTGCTGTCACATGCAGCGCCAGTTTCGGCGCGTCGTGTACGCCATTATTTCCTAGGCTACAGCAGAGGTATTTAGGGCAACTCGTGCATTGTTAGGGGAGTTGCGTTAGGAGAATCTGGGAGGAAGAAGTGTTCTTTTGGATTCTTCTGTTCTTCAGTCTAATGTCCGTTCCTTTTATATACTAAATGATTGCACTGTCAACTATCCTCTGTCGCTAGTTTTGGACGTGCAAGTCTGTGGCATTTG